AAATCACAAACTAATACATTGTTGATTCCGCCAAAACAGCATGCCTATATATATATATATGTCTCACTTTTTGACTCTGTCAAGGCAAGACAAAAATTGCAACAAATTTAATACAAATATTTTGTCCATCTTTTTAATATTCTTCATTTCTTAGATATATCAATGCTGCGTTCACACATAATTCGAATTCGATTCACATTATTAACTGATTTGAATAAGTTTAATACGCATTCGAAACGTTTAATGTCCAAAAGTAAATTCTACTTGGAATTGCAATACACGTCAAAATCGCTTTACTGTGAATGCAGGGGTTAAAATTAACATTTGGTACTGGACAGTCCAGGACCTTTGACACTCCAAACTGAAAGGTCCACAACCTAAATTCCAGGTCCTGCTTTTACTTGAAATAGTTCATAACTCAGTAAGATAATTTAATGTGCTTTTGGTGTTAAGTTAGCTTGTTTCATTGTCAGTGTCACTGTCGTTTAACATGTTTAATAATAAATGTAATTGTCTTGTATATTAATTTATGAATTCAAATAATCTTTTTTTTTGTATTAGGAAGGCTGAGGGAGGCTGAGGGTATCACTGTGGGTGGGTGTGTTGTCTCAATAATTGATTATTTATTACTAATTATACCATTATATTGAACAGTTCAAATTCAAAACTGTTTAAGTGTATCATATCTAGTTGCACTATATATTATATTAGCTAGTTCCTCTGTGAAAATAAAGTAAGAAACTTCCAGATTTGTATAAGCCCTTCAAAATTGAGAAGAAATTACCTCATGGAATTGTAGTAATATGTTAAAACAATAAAAACATCTACATGTAATATCAATATTTATTAATGATAAGGAAAATACTGTCACATTTTATTGGTTTTTGACATGAAAATTTGTGAACTAAAAGTAATTTTGAGTTTCTGTATAAAATATTTCCTGCTTTTTCTTTCTTTTCAATATATCTTTGGTTTTCAATTCTAGAGTTTATATTTCATCATGATAGATGTATTTTGTCTCATGCCTGGAATTATTATATTTTTATTGTATTTGATCGGCAAACCCGGAATTACCCTTATCCGCCCCCGGAATTAGATCCGGTATTATAATTGTCTTCATTTCCGGTTTATGGCATCCATTGTTTTTCAATGTTGTTTTTGTCAGTCAGATACGATTTACTCGGATTTACACATAACATGTTGGCGATTTTCGGTATAAAGCTAGCGGTTGAACAAAATGATTATTATCAGAAATCACCAAATTTAAAACGTCCTTGATTTACGTTTTGTCGATGAAGTTAAAATTACCGCCAACTGAGACTTTAACTCCGTGTCATATTAGTCACAGCCGTTATACAATATTCCTGCGCTTTGTGCCATTTGGCAACTGTAAACGACTTGTAATTAGAGATTTTCGGCGATGAAATAATTCATGCAATTGTTCTTTGACATCTTGGCCAAAAGCACAGGGGATAATAAACTACATAAGGATTTCTATTGAGCACTACTTCCTATGTGCAACTTCAAAACTTTTGGGTGGTTCGACGATCATTTAAGGTTTTTCTGGTCATATTTTTTGTATTCCAGAATTAAAAGTATGAAAAAAGTGTTCAATTAGTTATAAATAACATAATAGCCAGCCAGATAATAACAATGGCACATATTTCAGCATTTATTGGGTAGAACACAAATCTAGGGTGCTCGCATAAAGCAGCTTAACTGCTTAAAAATTATCAATTAAGGACAATAACTCCTTCATAAGTCATCCAATGGTTTTGGTCACATATACTTCTTGTGGATCCTATATTGCTGATCATTTTTACTGCTTACATTTTTTCTCTATCTGTTCTAGTTCAATGATATAAGCCAACTAAATTATTTTAACCTTGTGTTCTATTTTAAGCCATGGAGGCAGTGATTGTTGTCTGACCGTAATAAACAGACTTTATTCTAGATACTATACGGATCATTTATTTCAAGTTTGGTTGATATTGGTTCAGTAGCTTCAGAGAAGACCTTTGAAAAGTTGAAAAATAATTATAAAAAAATCGTTGTTTAAGGGTATAACTCCTTAAGGGGACATCACATGGTTTCTGTCATGTATGCATTTCTGCAGACCTGGTAATGCTGATCATTTTTTAACCTTATGTTCTATTTTTAGCCATGGTGGCCATGTTTGTTGACAAACTGGAAGAAATAACAGTGAAATGTCTAGCTGCTCTACTGACCATGATTAAACTCATGTTAGAAGTATTTAAGATAAAAGTGTTCCTACATCTACAAGTTTATCACATACACTTCACATTATTAATGATCCAATGAGGTGAAGGTCAGATAAACATGTACACCTTACAATCATTCCAAACACAAAATAAAGTTGACCTATTGCTTATAGTATCTAAGAAACAGGCTTGAAGAGGAAAACTTAATATTGACCAATGAACCATTAAAATGATGCACAGACAGATGATGAATGTCAGACAATCATGAACCCCTTAAAATCATTACATGCACCAAATACACTTGACCTATTGCTTATCATATATAAGATAGACTTAACCAGGAAAACTAACTAGAGGCTCTAAAGGGCTTGTGTCGCTCACCTTGGTCTATGTGCATATTAAACCCTAACCCTAACCCTAACCCAAGGACACAGATGTTACAGTGGAACATATTTTTAAAAATTTACAAAAATTTACAAAATTTATGAAAATTGTAAAAAATTTACTTTAAAGGGCAATAACTCCTTAAGGGGTCAATTGACAATTTTGGTTATGTTGACTTATTTGCAGATCTTACTTTGCTGTACATTATTGCTGTTTACAGTTTATCTCTATCTATAATAATATTCAAGATAATAACCAAAAGCTGCGAAATTTTCTTAAAATTACCAATTCAGGGGCAGCAACCCAACAACGTGTTGCCTGATTGGTCTGAAAATTTCAGGGCAGATAGATCTTGACCTAATGAACAACTGTATCCTCGTCAGATTTGCTCTAAATGCTTTGGTTTTAGAGATATGAGCCAAAAACTGCATTTTACCCTATGTCCTTTTTTTTAACCATGTCGGACATCTTGGTTCGCGCGCAGGGTCATCGGACACATTTTTTAAACTAGATACCCTAATGATGATTGTGGACAAGTTTGGTTAAATTTGTCTTAGTAGTTTCAGAGGAGTTTGTAAAAGATTACAAAAATTTACAAAAAATCGTTAAAAATTGACTATAAAGGGCAATAACTCCTTAAGGGGTCAACTGACCATTTTGGTCAAGTTGCTTATTTGTAGATCTTACTTTGCTGAACATTATTGCTGTTTACAGTTTATCTCTATCTATAATAATATTCAAGATAATAAACCCTAACCCTAACCAAAAACGGCAAAATTTCCTTAAAATTACCAATTCAAGGGCAGCAACCCAACAACGGGTTGTCCGATTCATCTGATAATTTCAGGGCAGATAGATCTTGACCTGATAAACAATTTTACCCCCATGTCAGATTTGCTCTAAATGCTTTGGTTTCAGAGATATAAGCCAAAATCTACATTTTACCCCTATGTTCTATTTTTAGCCATGGCGGCCATCTTGGTTGGTTGGCCGGGTCACCGGACACATTTTTTAAATAAGATACCCCAATGATGATTGTGGCCAAATTTGGTTAAATTTGGCCAAGTAGTTTCAGAGGAGAAATTTTTTGTAAAAGTTAACGGACGACGGACGCCAAGTGATGAGAAAAGCTCACTTGGCCCTATGGGCCAGGTGAGCTAATAATATGAATTATTGACCAATGAACAATGAAAATGAGGTAAAGGTCAGATGAACCCTACCAGACAGACATATACAACTTTCAACCATTCCATACACCAAATACTTTACATTTTATTTATAGCATTTGAAAGATAAGCAAAAACAGAAAAACTTAACATTGACCAATGAACCATGAATATGAGGTCAAGGTCAGATTAACCTACCTGACTGCCATTTATACCTTAAAATCATTCCACACACTACATATATTAATCACCTACCTTTAACAGTGATCAATTATCCATGAAATGAGGTCAAGGTCATGTGAACCCTGTGTGATGGACATGTTGACCTTGCAAGGAACTCATATAACGAATACTGGTATAGTTATCCTATTACTCAAGATAAGTGAGAAATTCACATGACAAAAAAACTATACATTTTTTTAAAAAGTCACTTAACCATGTATGAGGTCAAGGACAATGGACGACAGAAACTTCATAACATAAAGCATCTGTATACAAGATATGAAGAATCCAGGTTTTCTACCCTCTGAAATATAAAGCTTTTAAACAAATAGTTAACATCCCTGCAGCCGGATTGTAATCCCTATGTCTTGCGTTCTGACGAACAAAATTTATAACTATAAACTGGATACATTTGTAGTCTCAGTATCATCCATTCCAAGTTTGGTTGAAACATAGAATGACTCAAAAAAAGACGAGGCATTTGCAGTTATCTACAAAACAAATCCTTGGAAAAAACAGAAAATGTTTTTTTCAAAATGATTGAAAATAGTCAACATTGAAATTAATTTTGATGCAACTAAACCTTCACCGCATCTAAAATTATAGGCATCCATCAAAAGAAAATTCAATTTAGAGTGTCCACATATATATATATTTTCAAAAACTTGACTCACTCATACATTTTAATTCAAATTAGGGCACCCTTCACCTAAATAACATAGATTGTATTAGAGAAAGCCCAAAAGAAACAGGGGAAAAGAAAAGGTTTTCAGACAGTCAATTTTCAAAGCAATTTTGATGCAACAAAACCTCATCTATATCTCAAATTAATACAAGAAATCAAAAGAACATTTGATGTAAAATATACGCTAGTATATTCATTTTAAGCAAATTAAGGACCTAAAAAGTAATCATAAAAAAATTGGCAAATCCTGTTATTTTTAAAGATTGATGGTGTAAGTCATGTGATGGCCAATACAGCTGGGTATGTGTACAAAGTATAAAGTTGATGTTACCAGACATTTATTGTAAGTTTTCAGGGAGCATTAAAAAATAGAAAAAAGAAAAACTATATAGAACAAACAATATATCTAATAAACCTGTAACATTTAGATTGTTTATTTTCCACTCAAAACAAATCAAACATTTGTGTGTATAGAGCAAAATGTCATTTATTCAAAATTTATCATTAATTGAGAATGACATATTAACAATATCAATAGTAGCAAATAAATGACAATGACATTAAAAAGCAAAGGTGGGGTTTATATAATAATCAAACCAATAAAAAAGTATAATCAATTAAATACACACTATCAGGTCTTTCTTGAGACATTCATTACCCCATACCAAATTAATAAAACTAAAAAAAAATTTAAAACCTTATATGAGGTGCATCAGATAAAAAGCGACCTTACGCAAATGAATATCAATACATCTGTTAACCTATTTCAGGTTGAAAAAAATTTCTACTGAAAGTCTGTAACGGTTTGAAAATCAAGTTGTTATAAGAACCCTACAAAACAGACAAAATTCATCTTCTATTTCGGATTTGAATGTTCAAAAATCAATCAGTCTTATAAATATACATGCACTTGCATAAAGCCGATTTCTATCCAATGCAGCTCATATCATAAATTACAAATAACAAAAGAAAAAAGCAGAAGCAGTCAACAGTTGGTCACTGAAATCAACATGGCTTACATTCATGACCACATTGATATGCCCCTGGTCTTAAAAGAGTTTATAGGAAACTTAATTTCTATAAGGAATAAACAATTTGCAAAAATGCAGTTATTCAATAAGAAAATAAAGGCTTTTATAAGCCTAAAACAAACAGAAGTCAAAATCATGAGCTTATCAATTTTGATATTTTGGTCTGTGCTGGTAGTATTTAAATTTTTTAAGGCCCATATCTGATAAAAATGTTGAAAATCAATTTCAAACATTATTTTAAGATTGTAAGTATTCTAATTCACTGAGGATTTTAATCATAAAAAGCATGTTAACTTTAAACAAATGAATAATTACTCATAATTTATATACAGTGATACTAATAAGCAAACATTTTTTTTTTTTTTTTTATAAGTATTAGTTGATGGTTATAGCTGTTCAGTTTATTATAGCCTTTTGATTTTTCTAAACATTTGTTTTACACTTATTGTCTTAAGTGTGACTGTTGAGGATATTTAATACATATGCATTATGTCCGATGAAATGACATTTTGTATCAATTATTATTTAAAAGCAAAAAACAATTAGTAAATTATTTAACCAAAACCATTGATCTTCAGGAGTCATTTTGAATTTAATAATGAGAATAATTCCATAATTTGGATAAATGTTAAGCTATAAGATCAGAAAACTAGAGGCTCTGAAGAGCTTGTGTCGCTCACCTGCATTTTCAACAATGGCCACTGATCAGTGAAAATCATCAATATAGGGGAATAACTCTAGTAAGAGTTTACTGACAATTTCAGACATGTTGACATATTTATAGATCTTATTCTGCTGATCATTTATTTATAAAAGTTTCTATTTATCTATAATAGTTTTCAATATAATAGAAAACAAGAGGCTATCAGAGTGACAGCAAACCGATTTCCTGCAGAAGTCAAATTATAATCAATAAAATTAGATATGATTTAACCACTATAAAACATTGTCAGATTCAGCATATCAAAGAACCCAAAGAATTCAATTTTTGATGAAATTAAACAAAATTTTCATTTAGGACCATTTGGACCTTAATGTGGTATTATCTTATTAATAATGAAAATAAAAGGTTTAATTTCAGCTTTTTAAAGAGCCCTATATATATTCAATATATGTTGAAATCAAACACAGTTTAATTTTGGACCCAGATTTTGGACCAACTTGAAAACTGGGTCCAAAATCAGAAATCTAAATACTAGTATATGTTTATTAAGACAATTTAGCTTAGTTTTTAAGGGCAAATGATACAGTTACAGGGGAGGTAATGACGTTGCTTATGTAAAATGTTATTTTCGCGACGTCAAACTGTGACATACCTGGAAAAGATACAATGTTTCGACTGTCTTTTATTATATAAACTGATTTAACTTGAAAAGGAGTACATGGACCCCTCTTTTTTAAAATGGCATTAGGTTTGATTACGTATGAAGATTATTTGTACCAATTTTAATGAAAAAGTCAACATGGAAATTTTTTTAAATTTGATAAATATACCGCAAAAAATGCAGTTTTTTCCTAAAATCCTGAAACTTTGTTAAAAATTAATTATTTCCAAAGAACTATTGTACATATTAAGAGCATATTATGTAAAGAAGATTTTCATAATGTTTCTACAAAATTCAGCTTGTGTTTATCTGTTGAAATAAAAAAGTTAGGTGTGTCTATCGAAAGGATAGAAATGTCCAAAAAACCGAAATTTTGAGTAAAAGTCTAAAATTTCGACCCCTTTTATCTCTTAAAGTAGCACATGACGGTTTATTTTTTTTTACATATTTGAATTGTTTAGGTGAAAAAATAGCTTGTATGCAAATTTTTTTTAAAAATTCATCATGGGATCAAAACTGTATTGTATGCCCTTTAAAGGAGTTCACTTCATAAATATATATATATATATATAATATAGCATTCAGAAAATTAGTTTATACAGAATAACAAACAAACCTAACACAAAATCATCAAACAATTTACCAAAGAAAAGAAAAAAAAATTCCAAAATGTCATTTATCATTAATACAATGTCTTTTAAAAATCTATAAAACTTATCTGTAAGTGTAATCAAACTTTATATATATAATTAACCATTTCTTTTCTAAGGGAAATAACTCAATCACATAATAAGTACCACTTTTGACTATTGGAAAGGGATATAACTCAACAACGAGAAAAGCTAAAAATGTGAAAATTGAACTTGACCTTCATTTAGTCACAGAAACAACATATCTAAATTTGAAAAAAATTTGTCAAAGCGTTTTCATGTTAATAAACTCACACTGTTTGGCAGCCGCACGCCCGCCCCCCGTACATCCCCAAATCAATAACAGATTTTTCCTTTGAAAATCAGGTTAAAAATCGTATTTTATCCTTATGTTCTATTTTTAGCCATTTCGGCCATGTTTGTCGGCAAGTGTGTAAATTGGACACATTTTTTAAACCAAGTACCCCATTAATGATTGTGGTCAAATTTGCCCAGTAGTTTCAGAGGCGATTATCTTTGTACATAAGTTACAGATAACAATGGACACCATTTAGTGATGGGAAAAGCTCACACTTGTCAGCTAAAAATGTTAAATATTTAGAAACTAAAACCCTGGTAAGCGCAAATTTTATTTTGTCCCTATCAAGAGACTTACACATACTACATTGTTTATGGAAATACAGACTGATGAACATGATAGGCAACAAACCTTTGAAGTGGATACAAAATGCAATGAGAAGCTATTGCAGATGCTGTTTGGGTTTAGCCAGAAATTCTGTAAAAGATAGGGTCAGACGCCCCATACATATATTTGGGCTGCAATAAGATATTAATAAGCTGGTTTGAACTTATCATTTAGAGGATATCTCAGAAAACATAAAAAAAAACCAGCAGTTTATAACAGACAATTTGTGCAAAATCAAATAACATACCTGTATTAGTGTTTACAGCCACAATAAATAGGGCTCATAGAAAAAGTAATCATGTAAATAAACATGAAAAGAAACAAGAGGCTCTCAAGAGCCTGAATCGCCCACCTGTTATTTTTTTGCTTAAATCTTTTATCAATGATTATTTTTGCTTTTCAATATATATTAATGAGTGGCTTAAAAATGCCATTTAAAAATTATTGTATCTGTCATATTTTCTTCAAAAGCAAATAAATGCATTTTACCCATATGTTCCATTTTAGCCATAGTGTCTATGTTTCTTGACGTACAAGGAAATGAAATACTAAATTTATACTAGATTCATTTGAGAAGACTTTTAAAGTTAAAAAACATAAAACAACTTGTGTAAAATTGTCCTTAAAGGGCAATAACTCCTTAAGGGGTCAATTGACAATTTTGGTCATATAAACTTTTTGTAGATCTTACTTTGTTGAACATTTTTGCTGTTTACAGTTTATACCTATCTATAATAATATTCAAGATAATAACAAAAAACTGCAAAATTTCCTTAAAACTACCAATTTAGTGGCAGCAACCCAACAATGTTCAATTCGTCTGAAAATTTCAGGGCTGATAGATCTTGACCAATGAACAATTTTACCCCGTCAGATTTCCTCAAAAAGTTTTAATTTTTGAGATATAAGCCAAAAACTGCATTTGACCCCTATGTTCTATGTTTAGCCATGGCGGCCATGTTTGTCGATGGATAAAAACTTCGGATACAATTTATAAACTATATACCTTAAGGAACATTAAGTTAAAGTTTGAAGGTATTTGGCCCAGTAGTTTCAGAGGAGAAGATTTTTTAAATAGTTTACGACGACAGACGACGACGTACGCCAAGTGATGGCACAAGCTCACATGGGGCCCTTTGGGCCTTGGTGAGCTAGTAAAGAACTGGGTGAAAATTAATAAAAAAATTGATGGTACATGTTTAAAATCCAACAAAATGAGGTAACAATTTTACACTATCACTGAAAATAAATGTCATCTACTGTGTTAACTATTTTTCTGGCAAGTTCTACACTTTCTTCAGCATCTTTCTGTGTATATAGTTCTGCTGGTGTCTTCGGAAACTCCAGAAGTCTTGGATAACGTAGTCTGGAATAATTTACAATTTTAGTTTGCAGTTCATCCACTAGCTGTCTCAAGTCTGCATTTTCATACACAACAGGCAACATCAAAGAATGGTCATTGCTGACTCCATTTGCGTCTTTTGAAACTTGAACTGCTTTCAAAGCCTTTTCAGCAGCCTATTATTAAAAAAAAAGAAAATATGATTTCCTTACACACGTTTCATAAAAAATAATTAAAAAAATGAAGCGTTTCATTAACAATAAACAGAAGCGTTTCATTAACAATAAACAGAAGCATTTCATTAACAATAATCATAAGTTTAAACACTTACAATGAGCAACATGTGGAGCCTCATTTGTTTACCTTATCGGAGTTCCTGATACCAACCCCAGTTTTTGGTAGGGTTTGTGGTGCTCAGTCCTTAGTTTTTTATGAACTTATATTTTCATAGTCTTCTTTTTTTCCCCATGGCATTGTCAGTTTAACTTGACATGAGTTTTGAAAGTAGCCCTTCCCCCTCTTTTTTAATGCTCATTTTGACCAAGTTGTTTTAGAAGGAAAGGCAAGATGGATAGAGATGGGGACTTTGATGTTTTAAAAGAGACTGATATTATTAAGTCTGTATATTTAGCTAGTTTTTTTTGCATTATAGCGACTATTATTTTTCATACATAAACTAATGTCTACCCCAAATAAAAAAAATTAATTTCCTTCAAATTAGAAAATGTAAATCAATTTTGGGAAGTGTTTTATACCTATATATCATATCAATTTAAAATCCTATCACAAAAAAAATGTCTATAAAATTTGTGCTGACAAACAATCTTAAATATAACAAAAGAAATATCCTACCCGTATGTAATTTTGAAAGTCAAGTTGCAAATGTTGATATTAAAAATGTCAATATTCACATAAAAACTATGCAAAACATTCAAATTCAATGAACTATGACGGAAGGAGTTGCAGGGCCATAAAATCTTTTGAAATGAAATATGCCAATGCAAATAAAACTGCTTACTAAAAAATATAATTGAGTTATCATAAGTGGTTCCCCTTAAACTTAGTCTGTAATTCAGTGGATTTTGTTAGTTGCTGTCAGTCTTATTCGTTTTACATTTCTTGTTTTGTTCAAAATCAAGATGTATTTTTTTTTCGTTTGGAGGTAACACTTAAGCTGATATTCATCATAATTTTTTTCTCATTACTCACTGCCAATGTGACACCAGGAATAAATTTGGAACCATATTTCATACCTTAATTTGTATCAAATTACATTGACAACCTAACCAGCAGATCAAAATGTTTCTCAAAATTTGTGATTTTTTAACATCAATTAAGTTTTTATTATCACTATTTTCCCCCTTAATTTCACAAAAAATTGTAAGGGACCTGTGATCATGGACAAACATTGCGATTACTATAATTAAGGGACAAACAACTAGTCAGTGGGTATCTAATTATGAATAACATAAATTATCTACCTTTTGAATATATACATATATAGCGGAATCCCATATTCCAATAAAAGCTCATCAAATAAAAGTAGAAATTATTTTTTGATTACTCTACCTAATAAAACATTGTTTTGTCTACAGACTATAGCAGAAGAATTCTGTACAATCAGAGCCATATCAAATTTTTTCACCCTTACCAGGATCATAAATAATTAATTTCTGAGCTTATTTTTTTACCTGTTGACTCTGGACACATATCCAATTGTAGGATTTTTCCTTGACAAACTCCAAGGCTGAAATGGCAGCATCTATGTCATATTTAGCTTGTTGAATCCAAACTCTACCCATATGAGGCTGGGGATCTGGAACATATTTCTTTGTATAACTCTGTCTGTTTCTATTTCTTCGCCTATATCCACCAATTATATCATCTGCAAATCCATCCATGTCAAACGTGTAACATTTATTTGATGTTCCACTTGATGCTCTTTGCATGTATTCCTGCCAATATTGTCCTCCATGTTCTCTGTATTTATCTATTTTGGATGCGTCAATGTTTCCATCCTGCAATTTCTTGACAAATTCTCTTACATGTTTGAACACTTCAGTACAAAAGCTTGAATTCTGATTTTTATCTGGATGCCAACGTCTAATCAGTCTCCTGACAACTCTTTTGAAATCATCTTGTCCAAGCTTCCACGCATCTACAAGGGTTTCTTCAACCAGTTGGAATATTTCTGTTAGTTTTTCATTAGTGTATGATCTATTGCCATCAGTATATACCTCAAGTTCTGATGATGTTGAATCAGACGGCCTTTCCATTCTGTATAGTCTGTGTGATCTTGCCTCTATTTCCTGACCTTCGCCAACATTTATGAGATAGATAGGAAATCTTTCATTCTCATCTGAAATTCTTTTAATTACTTTTACATATATGTAAACATGTACACTATCATTGTTTGAGTGCCCACTGTTATCATAATGTTCATACACAACAGTTTCGCCATCCTCAAAGGCTTCAAAGTCAGCTATAAGAAAGTCAACCAAACTCTGCTCTAATGCTGTTCCTGGTGCAGGATACCAAAACATATCTTCAAACTTAAAGTCAATATCAACTGCTCCATATTCATCAAGAATTTCATTTATGGTGTCAAAACTAGAATCAAAATAGGCTAGACATGTTTGAATGCCACTAACTTTAACCTTGTCTTTGCAAATACAAGAAATAATTCCGGCTATACTGGAACCATTCTTTGATATCCATTCTGATGTTAAGGACATTTCATTTTTTATATACATAATATTTTTTCCATTATTAAAGTATAATCGTTTGTGTACTATGCTACCGTGCACTTGCTCTCCTTTGAATGAAAGTGAGGTTTGCAATACTGGCAATGCTAACACACGAAAAGATCTCAGCCTTGATAGCATTTCTTGCAATTCACTTTCTTCTAATTTTGCACCAGATGATTTCTGGCGTGTTTTCGCTAGTCGGGATACAATGTACTTCATTATTTCCCCAGATACAAATGCTTCTAATTTTTCAGCCATCTCACTTCTGACTGTATTTGATGAATTCAACAGTTCTTCTGAAACTATATCAGAAAGTATTTGTGGACGCATAGAGATTGGCAAGGTGCAAAGCAGATAATCGGGATCAAATTGTTTGCTGTGTTTTTTCACCGTTGTCCAATCACATATAAAGTCTATAACAGTCTGGTCTCTAAGACGCCTTTTTAATCCATGATTATCAATTATAACCAGCTGGTCAGAAGGTTTCAGCGTACTGTTGTTGTCTAATATATAAAGAACAGTTTTGTTTTCCACCAATGAATCCAAGTTATCCTTTCGTGAGAGACATTCAAAAACACCTAAAGTAGCCTTCTCTATTTGTTTCAACTCGTCAAGAATAATAATTTTTGACTCCTTTGCAGTGGATTTTATTGCTGCAAGAACTCTACAGTAATGCTCTATTGAAATGTTTTCTGAAGTGCCAAGTTTCTTAAAAAGTGGAAAATATTGCCCAAAGTGTGTTGACGCTTTAAGTAAATATGGTATAATTTCAGAAAACTTTGGTAAATCAATAACGACATGTTTTGCCTGAACAAATTTGTTATGTTCTATAATATATATTATGGGTGATGTTGAAAATCTAATTTTTAATTGTCTCATTTCAGCGTCTGGTATATTGTTTTCCAAATATTCATAAAATATTGTCATCAGCTGTTTATGCTCATCCACAGTCTTTGGGTGATGTTGCAATGAGTAGCATACCTTGTGAACATGTGATACAACACAATCAATACTTGGTCTTGCTTTGATGTGTAACTTTTCCTTCAGTATTTCATCCGTGGGAACAGCATATTCTGGTAATATACTATCCATTGTCCATGCCAACATGAAATATTTGTGTTGAACACCATCTTGGAATGAAATGAGCTTATCTGTGGAACTTTGAGCACTTATGAACCTGTATTTATCTGGTACAATATATGGTGTAATGAAATTAATCCTACTAATCTCTCTCATGAAGGAAGTTTCATTTGTATGTGTGCTGCGGTGAAAAAGATGCTTTATCAGTACCTTTGCCTGATCTTCAGACTCACTGTTTTTTCCATTTTGTTGAATTTGTCTAGCAAATCTCAAGAATAAGGCTTCTGTCACAATACTTTTCATTCCTGCAGTTTCCATAAATATTTTCCAAACATTTTCACAAAACGGCGCAGGAGGCAATTCAGACGGATCACATAATTTAGCACATACAGAATTGTGTGGGCTGAAAAAACAATTTGCTTTATTCAAGACGCCAGTTTCAGCTGCTGGAATGAATGCTAGTTCACTTAATGAGGACTTGATTTCAACATAGTCCATCAATTCATCTCTCACAAATTCAAGATGTTTCAAATGAGCTCTCCTTTCCATATTTGCAAAGTTTGGAAAGATAAATGTGGTATATAATACGAGAAGTGGATGTCTGTATAACTGGTCAGTTGGGTAACATAATCTACATCCTAAGTTTGAATACAACTTTTCATGGTAGGCATTGTGCTTCAATAGAATTGTATTAGTTTTTTCAGAGAGTTCTTCCAATCCATCCTGCACAAACAAGTTTTCACATTTCACCACAAGGGTTGTAGATGTCTCATTTAATGCTTTCAAATCACCTGTCAATGTTGTGAATAAAGGTAAACCTTTTAACTTCTGCTTTTCTGACATCTTAAATCTGTCCACAGTCTCAGCAAAGAATGTAAGAATTTTGTTGCAATCATGTTTTGTAAGAAGATGCCATTTGCATATATCTCTATGAAAAAACAAGCATTTTACAACTTTATCAGGTTGTTGTTCAGTTGCTACTAAATCACGAGTGTGCTTTGACTGTAGTGTGTAGCTAGCAGGGGATGGCAAGCCAAGCTTTGCTAAGATATTCTTCAAACTTAAATCCTGACTGAACGGAGATGTAAATTCCATTTTATGAGGTCGAAAACTATTCAAATCCAAAACTGTAAATGCCATTTCAAATGAAACAAGCTTCAAGCTTTTATCCTCCAATTTACATGGGAAAAGGCACCATTCACTTAATTTGTAACGTACATCAAAAAAATCATTCAAACATAACCAAAATCCTCTCATCCATGTGTCATCTAGAAGCTCCTCATTTGGCCAACTAATTGGTCCTTTTACTTTTAAGACTGATGCATCTATTGATATTGGAAGCAGTTCAAGTAAAAGTTCCATAGTCAAATTTCTAAAGCTATCTTCAAATCCCCTTAGGAATGAAACTTCATCTTTGTGAACAAAGAGGTCACTTGACTTTTGGAAAAGGTAGCAGAAAGATGACAGAACTGTTTCGTTATTTGTTTCCAAAGTGTGTATAACCGAGTCATTAGATACTAGGAGAGGGGTATTTGATAAGTTTTCTATTTTCAAATCTTCATACTTCTGGCAAAAATGAAGGACACACAAAAGTTTGTCAATACTATTGAATGCTGTTTCAAGTACTGGTCTAGGCAAAGAGTCTATGAGGCATTTATCCTTTGCATTTGTATTCCATGACTTCAAAAACTGAACAGTTCTTTTTGGGCTGACTCTGCATGGACAAATACAAGTCTCATCAATTCTGTCATCTATGCAGACTTCATCATCCGTTGTTTTGTGTTCCTGCATATGATTGCATGCCTTTTCAATGCTTTCATATACATATGCTGGAGTACAAACAAGTTTCATTCCAAGATTAATCAAAATAAGGCGCAGTTCCTGTTCTTTGTTAAATGTACATGTTCTTTGTGTACTATTACGAAACAAGGAAATATTTGAAATATTAAAATCAGGTAGGACATTTTTGATTTCAAAATATTTGTGCAATTCATCAAACACTGCACTGAATGATTCTTCATTGTTTTTAATTGCTATCCACTTAAAGATTTGACTTCCAGGACTAAAGCTGTGCTGATTTTTCTCCTCAAATGAATGTTCTGTACAACTATGAAGCATGAATGAAGGACATATTGGAAAAAGTGCTAATTCACGTTTAACACTGCTGTTGTATATTGCAAAAGTCAAAAGTCTCCAAAATCCTTCTGAAGTATTTTCAAAGATTGGAAATTTCTTAAAATATGTTGCCAGGGCATCTGGACTATAACCTTCCAGATAAATATCCCTAAAATACTCCAAACAACTGGCATAAGAATGTGAAACAGGTTGTTCTATCAAGCATCTATTCCAAATGTATCGGATATCTTCCTTGTGAGTTCCACCAAAAATATTACTTCGATTCTGATCCAAGGCAAAATGCCCATTCACATATGCTGGTAATCCTGTTTCAATAGGCAATGGTAAGAAACAAAATGCTTTACCTTCAAATTCTAAATTCACAGATTTACTGATTGCTGTTCCACTTCTGGGTAATAGTCCTATTCGACCTTCAGAAAATTCAGAGATCAGTCTCCATGGTACTTTTGAAGGCTCAGGGAATCCAAATACTTGAACTATGAGCCAAGTAGTATTATGGTATCCATTTTTAATACTGACTTCATATCTCACTTCACTAAACTTAATTTTGTCCAATTGTTTTTCCCCCCCTTTTAGCAACTTGGATTCTTCTTTCATCTTTGAAAGAAATTCTACTCTTCGTTCTTCATCACTTTCTGACAAGCTTAGTTCTACACTTGACCCAGGCAGCCAGGTACCATTTTGTCCAATGCGAGAGATACTGATTTTTTTAACATTTGCCAAAAATAAAAGACTTTGCTCCATATTTAATTCCATTTCTGCAAACATTTTTTCGACAGACTTAATATCCGAAGGGTCCTTTGAAATATATGGGCTGTCACTTTTAGTACTCTCTTCTGTTCTCAACGGTAAACGGAACCATGTCCCTGTTTCTGCAGGCATCTCCTTTTGCAAATATGTATGATAAATGTCACCATAGCTTTCTTCAATTATTTTAAGGTCTTCAATTTGCATCCCAGGTGTGTCTGGGTCAGCTACTGGTACATAGGAACAGAGTGGGTCAAAAACACAGTAAGTTCCACCATTTGGTGTTGCAGATCCACGAGTCAAAAAGGAAGGTACATCAGTCAGATGATAAACAGCATTAAATCCTATACCAAACTGTCCAGTTTTCAATGGATCATCTCCTTTACTTCCTTCTCCTAAGTTTTGAATTCCTTTCAAATCGTCTTCTGAGAAGCATGTGTCATTGAATACACATATTGCAGGTCCTTGAAGTGGTGCCCATTTTTCATCAAATATTTTATCAGTAGGATGATCCCGCAGATCTAATACAAAATGAATTTCACTTGCCCCAGCATCATCGGCATTTTGCAGCATTTCATTAAGAACAGAATGATCACGTGGATAGGCTGAAATTATTCCTCTTAGACGTGTAACAAGCTTCTCCTTTTGCCCAAATGGTATGCCACTTGAAAAACGTGATAGATGAAATTGACGTTTTGATGGTACTTCCAATTGGTATATGACATTTGACCTCACTTCTGAATGAATGATATGTATATCTTTACTTCCACGAAGAAATCCTGGATATTTGTCATCAAAGCATATCTCAGATAATGGACGTAGGTAACATTTATTATCTGGTACAAACACTGTTTTTTTATCCTCTGGTGTTAGAACTTTGGTCTGATATTCCAAGGCTGAACGCAGGTTATCTAAAATGTTCACAATACTTTTAACTTCTTTCTTTGACAATTTCATTTCATTTACCTCCATTTTTTTCTGTTGTAAAACCGATATAAACTTGTGAGAGTCAAAATATTGTGGGATTTCCATATTTCTCCAAAGTCTTGGATATTCATTTGAATTCACCTTGTAAAGGTAAGGAGAACAATCTCCTTTCAAATTGTATGCAAGCTGATCTGGTTTCATGACCACTGATTTTAAACAAACTACTTTCTTGAACTGTATTGCTTTGAACCTTTCCGCAGTTTGTTGGTATGGTCCATTTTCTGGTAACAGGCTGTTCAATTTATTGTACAAGCTAGCACAAATCTCTTTTAAATTCGCAGAAAATTCAAAATTCTCCTTTCCAAGTATTTCAAGTTGTGTAAGAGCATCATCAATTGTCACTTTCTTTGCATCAATAAATTGTAGAACATTTTCTTGTAAAAGACCATTCATAGAATCCAAAATGTAACCAACGGATCCAACTACATTTCTATCCATTGGATTAAACATCTCAGATGGTGACAAGAAAGTCTCATGTAGCTTCATATCTTCAGCCTTCCATGGTAAAGACCAAAAAGCTGGTTTACTCATTACAGGAAGAAACTGAATTGTCTGCAGCTTTTCTTTCACATCCATGTGTTTATCTGAATTGTTTAACAGGTAACTAACAATTGCTTTTGATCTTTTGAAAGCCATATCAGATGTTAAATTTCTTACAGATTGTGCTCTATCTGTCAAAAGAGGTGAAGTAATACTTTTTCCCATCATTCCCAACTGTACCAAAACATCACTATACTTGTCAAATTTAGGTGTTACAAATCTACAATCACTTTCCTCAAACATGTCACCAACTAATCCAATCTCCTCGACTAAATCCTGAGGACGTCTCAAAATTCCATTCTCTGATGGTTTTACTGGAATGCATTCTTTTATCTTTACAAGTTCATGTAATGATGGCTCCCTAAGTGCTTCAGTTAAAAGTTTGTCCCTCTTTGCTGACATTCCATCTTGGTGCCAATATTTCTCTTTCAAGTAGGGGAAAAAATACTGTCGGAAAAAGTTGTCTTTTGAGATAATTCTATTCTGAAGGATTTTAAAATCGTTCTTACACATCTCTTCAAAATTAGTAAAGATGTGCAATGGCATATCCATAACATTGGTTTCATCATACTGGAATTCTAACATACACTCGTATGCAATTTGACCATTTGAACTCTCTCTAAATTTTGGATCTAAGAATATAGAATTGCTGACTGAACTCCTTACTGCAGTTGATTCATTACTCTTTCTATAAAATACATGAAAATCTTGTTGTAAAATACTCTGGTAAAATGAACGCACTAACTGATTTGTATCATGATAAGAAGTAGCAACCTTATTCGGCCATAGCAACCAGTATTCTTTCTGTAGTATTCTGTCATCAACTCTGCTTGCTACAGATGTCATAAGATTGATATAGGCACTTTGAATTACATCACCAAGCATATTATCATTCCAGCTGCTACTTTCATTTGTTTTGTCATCCTTATTAAATCGTGTAATACTTTTTCTATCTTGTTCCACCATGAAATGACCATTTATATGTACTGGCAGTTGGGTTTCCATGGGGAGAGGCAAAAAGCAGAAAATACGACTTTCTTTATAAAATCCTTTTCCTGGAAGATCCTTCAAATCAACAAAAGATATGATTTCATTTCCAAATCTTTTTATTGGAACAGCAACACTGCCAATAGGGACAGCACCTTGAGATTTTAATCTATATGCTAATTCAAATGAATGAATCCCTGTTCCCCAGGAAATAATCCATGACTGAACTTTCTCTAAGGTCTGAAACTCGTTTGATAATACATGAGCTGACTCACTCACTTTAATGCCAATATCAACAACTTGCACTGGGAAATTAATTTCTTTATACTCTTCTTCCTTCATTGCTGCTGTTATTGTTTTCAGTATGTTAAATCCATGTTCTTTGGGTGTCAATTCAGTGTTTTCTTTCCATGTTTTGAATAAAAGTTTCATATCCTTGTCAGGATTGAGACCTTTTGAATCTAAATGATATACACAAATTTCCTTGACATTCTGCGTAAACAAAAGTAAATTTGCAGCTGAATCCAAAAACTTTTTCAATAGCTCCACAACTTCCCTCTTTGTGTACTGTTTATCTGTTATCTCACTCTCTGATGCCTGATTCTGTGTTCTCAAAGGTAATCGAAACAAAGTATTGTTATATTCATCTTTGTTGTTTGGCTCCAAATTACACCCAAAAATATCATTGTATGGTTTGAATTGATTTGGAAAGTTTTTCCTATATTTTTTGGTTAGTAATAATTTCAAACCAGGGTTTGAACCGATAGCTGCTTCGCCAAGATGAGATAAATGTGGGTCCAAAATTACTAAGGTGTTCTTGCTCACAAAGCTTGGAACATCAGTAACATTGTACACTGAACAAAATCCAAGTCCAAATTTTCCAATCTTTTCTGTATCCAAAATTTTTGTCTTCCCACCAAGTTCTATTATATTTTTGAAGTCCTTTTCTTCAAATATAGCATCATTGTACACCCATAAGGCAGGTCCATGACATTCAGCCATTCCTTGATCTAAAAGTCCATTTCTCCATTCTAGGTTCTCTCTTTCATCATAAAGGAAGCATACCTTGGTGGCACCAGCATCATCAGCATTTTGTACAAGCTCCTTAGGAACTGCAAATCCATCAGTATAACTATCTAGTAGTCCAGAAATTCTTGTTGTCAACTTCTCTTCCTGTCCCCATGCCAAAACTTCTGTATTCTGATTGTAAATGAATCGCTTGGTGATAGAGGCAACACCAAGTTTTGATGCTAATTCATTTACAGATGGATGAACATATATGATTTTTTCCTCTTTTTCCTCACAATCATCATCTTCATCATCATCATCTGGACAAAATGCAGTAGAAAATGGACTTTTCCCTGATGTATAAGTACACTTTTCAACTTTTTCAAATACAATACATTCTTCACTTTGTGAGTTGATTGGAATCAATATCTCTGACAATTCTGACTTGTTTATATCCATGGCAACAATTGATTTCAAAATATTATATGTTAATGTTCGGTCTTTTTCAAGTTCATTTTTGTCTACTGGTGTCTCTTCTACTGACATATACTTCTCAGAAATTCGCTGCAACAGTGACTTCAACACATAGAAATCTACATCTCTCTTCATTCCAAGTTCAAGAAATAGTTCACTGAAGTCTGCAACATCTCTGGCTAGTTCAAAGATGTATGGTTCTAGAATGTAATTTATGTGTTTATTCCCAATTTCCTGAACAACAATCTGAGCAGACATGAAACCTTGACTGTTTGTTGGAATACACTCCATTGCATTAAGCTTCTTGATATTTTCATTATTCAAACTACCTGCTCTCCATAGTTCATAGAGGTAACTGATGATATGCTTGGTTATATGTAGATATTCAGAGTTCTGTCTTGCCTCATATGAGTTAATAACATTTCTATAATGTTCAATAACATCATTTTGCTCTGGTTGTACACACCACTTATAACAAGCAGTAATCTGTTTTGAGAACAAATCTAGTCGTACCAGTGGACAAACTGTACCAATCAAATTTTTAAATTGCATGCTTTTAACTTCTTCTGGAGAACAGAATGTTTTGCTACTACACCATCTTAGTCCATCAGGATGGTCATCAGGCTTTTCTAGATCAATAGGAACCCATTTTATTCTCTTTATCCTTTGCAATGCCTTGTTACTTGATATGTCTTCATGCGTCTTCAAGTATGAAATTAAACTTTCAGCTTTAATGTACTTTTTTTCATCCATACCATTTGCAAACATACGTATACTGTTTGCTACCTGGACTACATCTTCTGAAGAAATGTTATCTTCAGTTTTTAGTCCCAAGGTTTGCATAAATGAATGTCTTAGTCCATTTTCTTGTATAAAGTTTTCATTTGGAAATACACCTTCCTCACCATAAAGCAAATTCTTAAGGAAGCTTGATGTTGGATCAAACAAGTTATTTACAGAGTGTAGTGTTCCATCTCCAGACGGCATGAATTTTAAAGACTTTGCTTTCTCAAGGACATTGTTCAATATTTGTGGTGGTCTTTCTTGTAGGTATATCATCAATTGTGTGTAATGTTTAACAGAATACTTGGTACTGTTTTCTAACATTAAATCAAGTGTTTGGTCAATACATTCAATTTCTTCTACATCAGTTGCTCGGAGAAGTTTAGCCAATTCTGCATGTTCTCTCTCCAAGTATTTTCTGGGATAACTGATACCTTCAGGATACATAAAGTCTTTCAGTATGAATTCATTGTCCTCTACAGACACCATCTCAGCCACCGATACATTGTCATGTTCACAGAACAAATCTAATTTCCGTAAAAATTGATATGCTTCTCTTGGAATATCTGAATGATGATTTGTTAGGAACTGTACCAATTCTTTCCTTTCATGGTCAGGACATTGCTTGTTTATCTCTCTTGCAATTTGTTGATGTCTGCTTGATAATGCAGCCATTTTGAAACAATTCAATACATTATCTATAATTGGGAGTTGAATGTATTTTCCTATAACATCTGTATGTGGAAATTTAATCATTTGATTTGGATGGAAAATGTCTACTTCAGTTAGGGTAACCACCTTCTCCAAGGCTGCTGGCAATGGATCATGATTGTCAAATCTAGAAAGCATATAATTTCCTTTCAAATTTACATATTCTAACACTAGGCTCTCATCAGTTGCACTATTGTTGATGTCTTCTACATCATCTGGACCAACAACAATAACAGGTATGCTTTCAAAAATTGAGAGATCCTCATATTCTTTTCTGGCAATTTCTTTCCATACTTTGTGAATCCAATCAATTCCAAGGTTTGACTGTGATGCTTGAACAAAGCGGCCATTCTGTTTCCTAATAAAATTGATGTCAAAGACTTTCTGTATAACACCAGGTAAGCATTCATCTGTTAAACATCTCAGTTGAAACAAACCTGAAATCAAGAACAAAATTTACATTAATAAGAAAATTTAGACTCTAACTACGAGTGAACTAACAAATGGGCAACACTGATCTGCAATATATACTACTGAAGCTAGTATACTTAATTACCTCCCCTATAAAAAGTTGGATTGGGACTACAAACCTTTATGCACATCCTTAGGTAGCTTTCTACTGTTAGCAATTAAAGTTTCACTAATATCTGTCTAGCTGTTTAGGAGGACGAGGCAAATAAAAAGACAGATGGATAGACCAGATTTTCTAATTGTTTTATCATTGATAAACCAGAAACTTATTAAAATTGAATGCAATCTGTTTAACATTATGCAAACAATTCCATACAAATGTTGAAATCAGAAATTGTGCATTTTGGCATACTAGGTATACCATAAAAATCTTACTTCAAAATATCTGAAAATAGGAAGTAGTCATTACTTAGTCAAGCTTATGACCCTAGATCTACTTTAAATTCATTAGGGATCTTCCTTCTGTTGTGTATGTGACCAAGTACAGTTGCAATTCAATATAATTTTTTTTAATTTAATTTAGGATCCAGGAAACCACTCTTGTGCACAAATTTCTTTTTTCATTAACTATGACCTTGATGTTAAATTCAGTAGCCTCAAAATCAAATAGGGATCCTCCTCTAATTACATATGACCATTAATCAATAAAATTGAGAATGGAAATGGGGAATGTGTCAAAGAGACGACGACCCGACCAAAGAGCAGAAAACACCTGAAGGCCACCAATGGGTCTTCAATATACAGCGAGAAAATCCCTCACCCCCGCACCCGGAGCTGGACCCTAAACAAAAATGTGTACTAGTTCAATGAAAATGGATGTCACACTAAACTCCAAATCATATAAATGAACTAAAATTAAAAAACATACAAGACTTACAAAGGCCAGAGGCTCCTGACTTGGGACAGGCGCAAAAATGAGGCAGGGTTAAACATGTTTTGTGAGATCTTGACCCTTCACCTATACCTCTAGCCATTGTAGAATAAACAAACACACAACAATACACACAGTAAAACTCAGTTTAAAAGAAGTCCAAGTCCGATGTCAGAATAGGTAACAAAAGAAATTAAGCAAAATGACAATGATACATAAATTAACAAAGGACTACTAGCAGTTACTGACATGCCAGCTCCAGACCTCAATTAAACTGATTGAAAGATTGTCTTCATCATATGGAAATCAAGCACAATCCCTCCCGTTAGTGGTTTAGTATCATACCGTCATAAAATATATGAGAAGAACATAACCCGTATCATGCCAACAACTGGTTTTAGAATAAATGTGTGTATTTCCGATGCAAAGACCCTATGAGTGAATCAATATTAATACCAAAATATGCCATCTTTAATGACCTGACAACAGTATCGTAACTATATCCCTTCTGAATAAGTCTGTTTAAAGGTTTGGTTAGCTTTTGAGGTCAATGCTGACATTTTTATGCTTTGTATAGAATATTATCATAAAAGATTGGATATGAAATACCTGAAAGGTTAAGATGTCTGCATGTTGATTCATATTTACGAATGATGTCCTTGTACAGATGATAACTGTCAACATTTCAAATGGACATTTTTTTTTTTACAATCTATGAAACAAGAAAATTCTAAATCGTTTGTGAATATCTCTTACTCTTAACTAGGCGTCTTTCACGTTTGAACGGGTCCATTTCATCTATAAGATGATAAATCTTACGGAATTATGACAAAAAAGGAAAACGAACTTATATATATAAATTGTAATGTGTTTTTAACACAGGTTTTGTTTCGCAAAATTATTTGCGCAAACAACATTTCAAGGTCAGTTATACGTAAACCTAGAGAATTACAGGTAATCATTCAGGTGTCATTATATCATTTTTTTACAGAGTGGAGTCTATCAGTATCAACAGCAATTAAGGAAACCCTTAATAAATAACAGGACCCGTGATTTCAAGGAAGTATTTAAAACATGGTAAGAGTAATCAGAATGCGTAAACTGTGCTACTTTTAATTTAAAACAAATAATGCAAGATGAGATTACATTACTATAACATGCGTAGTGATTTTACGATAATTTTATGAATGAACAAGAGCAACTTGACCGCTTTCAAAAAGATACATGAATTAAACAACATAAAACCGTATCAGAGATAATTCAGTCAAATGTTCAATATTAAATCAACAACTGACATGATTAGATATTTTGTTAAAAACATCTCAAGAACGAAATCGCAGGTATAAAAATGTACTTTTTTATTCAGACTTCTATGTTCTTTGATAGTCAAACAGTTGTCCCCTTAAATACAAAACAACATCTACAACATATGTTGAACCTTCTCAAACCCATGAAAGTTTTTCAACTGTTTCAATTAATGTATTTCATTAGAAAACATACATAGGAGTTTTAGAATGACAGACCAGGAATCTGCTCAAAAAACTTTGGCTTGATCTGGGTCACAAAGATGGCTATATGCCATAGCATGAAAGCAATTGCTTTAAAAAACTAATTAAGATTATTTTAATAGATATAAAGTAGTCACTAAAGTTTCATGAAATCTGCTCAAAGCATTTTTTGAGTTATTGTCTGAAAACAGGAAAATCCCCCCCCCCCTTTTTATGAATAAAATCCCATAAATCAGAAATGTAACATCTAAAATTTATAAAAATTAAAAGGGAGCTAACATCAATAGATATAAACAATTCAACAAAGTTTCATAAAAATTGGTTAAAGTGTTTTAGTGTTGACGAGGGACAGATGGACAGACAACCGTATACTATAATACATCTCTTAAATGGGCATACAAAAACAACAAAAATTTGTAAGGGTTCCGCGGAACCCAGTGTCTCGCCTACTTTTGCTGTTAATTGCAGGCTCAACAAAAATGAGGAAAAAAATTAATAAAAATATTCCTCTCTATACTATCTTTTGATTGTAAGTAGCTTCTGTCCAAGTTTTCTAAAAATCCAGGATAGTTTATGAATCTAATGAATGTTTTAAAAACTTAAACTGCAGACTGTATGTAATGTTAACTGGAAGAAAATAGTCCATTTATAAGTAAAATACGGAAAAAATGGAACAAAATTTTAACAAAATTTCCTTCTAGATACAAGCTTTTAATCATAAACAAGCTTCTGTCCAAGTTTGGTACAAATCTAAGATAGTTTAAGAAAGTTGTTAAATATTTAAAAACTTTAACCACAGAGTGAATGTAATGTTAACTGGCAGAAAAACTAAGTCCATTTATAAGTAAAATACAGAAAAAATGGAATTTTTTTTTTACAAAATTTACTTCTGGATACTATCTTATGATCATAAACAAGCTTCTGTCCAAGTTTGGTAGAAATCCAGGATAGTTTAAGAAAGTTATTAAAATTTCAAAAACTTTAACCAGAGTGAATATTTGTGGACGCCGCCACCGACGACAACGGAATGTAGGATCACTATGTCTCGCTTTTTTGACAAAAGTCGAAGGCTCGACAAAAAACAGTCTAGAAAATGCTACATAGAAAAACTAAAGACTTAGCAACACCAACCTGACTGAAAAACCAGGGGATCTCAGATGCTCAATAACAGTAAGCGGATCTAGCTCCACATGTAGCACCTGGCGTGTTGCTCATGTTTAGTACACACTGGTGATAAGTCTCATTAGAAATTATGTTACAATGTTCAAACTATGCAGTAAAATCTATTTATGTTACAATGTTAAAACTATGCAGTAAAATCTATATGGTCTTAGTCTGCTAGTATGTTCAATCTTCTTTTGCATTTTGTCAGCAGCAGTTTGAAAACTACTCGAGTTTTTTTCTCTTAGCTTTCTGTTTACCTCAACTTGTAGAACTAATTACCAAGCAGAGATATCTTTAAAATTAATCTATTTCACATAGATTATTTTCTTGATTCATCCATGATTTTGACAAAGCTGTGTCTAGCACAACAGAATAATATGGTGGACCACCAATAGAACTCTTTAAGTTTAGTGGGAGCTGGAGACACTAAACCTTTATTTTGGGCACATGACTTATTTATTTTTGGGTTTGTTACAGTAGTGCTTGTGCGATATTATGGATGTGTAGAAAATAGTGTTAACACTTTAACAATCTTAAAGTTATGCATGGCAGACTTCTTTAAATTAAAATTATACCTTTTTCTGCGATCTTGGACAAACTTTTCCATATAAAATCCGTCACTGAACTTTTAGATATAACTTGATCTTCCAAGCCAGGAAACAAATTAGCTGTCTCATCACAGATCACATATACATCGGTTCCAAATGCTGAACTAAAGGGAACAAACTCTTGATTGTTCAATGGTAAAATTCCTAAATTGTTCAAATCTGTATAGTTACAGTCTTCCAGAACAAATGACAAAAGCCTTAATTTTTCTTCACTAGAATATGTCTTCCAGCACTCAGAACTTTTCAGTTTCGCCCTTACTGTTTGTGGTGTAACTGACTGTGGTTCGTGACCTGTAAATTTCAGGATGGTGATCACATGATCTGGTAATTCCACCAAATTCTCATCACAGTCTAACAGTAATTTCTTCACAGTTGTCTTAGTCTTCTGATTGTCATTTTCTAACAGGTTAAATATAGCAAATAATGCTTCAGAAAACTCAATCCATTTTCCTCCATCTTGTCTGGTAAAGAAAATATCTTCACTCATCACTTTTTCAAATAATTTTTTTAATAGTAATTTCCAGTTAGATTCAACAGCATCTGGATCTGGAATTGCATCGTACACCTGATCAACCATATCTTGAGAGTTATTTCCCTTTATACACCTTGTCTTCATCATCTCAATGAGGGTGTAGTAGGTCTCTGGTAGTAGCTCCCCAATCATGCCATCATTCCACATCAATGAATGGTCAGTTTGTCTTGACTCATTATTGGCAGCAGCCTCCTTAATGTGTCGTCTGTTGTGCTCAAGGTCAAAAAAGCCATTTACATGCACAGGGAGGCCAGTCATACTCTTTTCTGTTACAGGCAGTGGTAGGAAGCAAAAAATATGCCCTGGTGGCTTCTCTCGTATACTTGGCTTCATACAATAAGCTACTCCTGTGTATGGACTATAATGTAGACTTGAATCACTTACTAAATGGTTCATCTGCTCCGACAAGTAGTCTGCACCAGTTAGCATATTAACTACAGCATAATGTTCTTCTGTGGTATTAGTCTTGATAACAGCTTCATACTGTGACATTATAGATATCCTTGGTAACTCATTTTTCAGATTATTCAAGTCATCTTTGAACATTTTCCTTGCCTTACTAAATTCTTTTTCATTGGATCCTGTTATCTCAAGTGTAAAGTATGGACGATCATTCTGTTCATTATAAATTTCAATTTTCTCCAAATTTTTCAGAAACATCAGGTTATATGTTGACTTTTTCATAAAGGATTTAAACAGATTTTCTGCTTTTTCTTCTGAATAAATAGTTGGTGACAGTTTAGATTCTTTTTGACGAAGTGGGAACCAGAATATTGTTCCGTCATACAGACCTTCTCTCAGAACTTCTGTATTGAAGCCAAACTTATTCATTAAACAGGCAAGTGTTGTTTCTGGTTGATGTTTTCTTCCTATAGCTTTCAGTTTCAATTCTCTACATTCCTCTTCTTTTTCTTCTGATCTCAACGGATCTATGACCAAAAGCTTACTGCCACTTATTATTACAGGGCTGTCTACAAAATAAATGAAGGGGAAAGGTAATTATTGGTAAGTTTTAAACAGGGTTGACTAAAATCTTGCTATTTGATTATCATATAACACAAATGAGGCAATAACTAAAAATAACTTCTTTATTTGTTCTTTAAAATTAGTTACAAATATCTTAGAGAAATGAAGGCTTGAGAGCAGATGCCATGCAATTTCCAATATATAATTAATATTTCAAAGTGGCATAACTCTTTTAGAAATATTTGATTGGCACTGATTTTCGAAATAGTCCAAGACATTGTTGATATAAACCTCGGATATGAATTTGATAAAGATCTTGCAAAATTGTACACGTGAGAGCGATTACAATGCAATTTTGCATATAATTAATATTTCCAAGGGGAATAACTCTTTGAAAAGTTGTTGATCTTCACTGATTTTCGAACTTGTCCAAGACACAGCTGATATAAACTGAATGGACGGATGCCCGGTATTTCCATGTGAACCGCAACAAGTCACATGGGGGACAAAAATTACTTGAACAATGACAACATTGATATTTTTAAAACAGATACTGAATTCATGCACCATACGCAATTATAAAATGTACTTTTCTTGCTAAGTATGGTTATAAACAAACCAAGGTTTGTTACAAAAAACATAACAAAAGAACTTCATATCCATGAAAGTAAACAACTAGGCAAAATAGTTCTGCATTCAAACATGTTGTAGGAGAAATGTGCTAACTAGAAAATATGGATAGACAGACAACAGACAGATAAAAACTGAAATATATACAGCTTATGTATCTTCAATGTGGCACCAGTGGCAGATTCAGGCCTCAAACCCTGCATCCAACTCTGGGCACCAATTATATGCTTCCCTGATTTTCTCTAGGTTCAAACACAACATACCTGTCATATGAAATACTGATTTGAAGCCAAGACCAAATCTTCCAACTTTCAAAGGTTCTTTCTCTTTCACACTGTTATAAATGCTGATGATCCCCTTCCAGTCATCATCTGTGAACATGGCATCATTGTACACACATATACCTGGAGTCTACAAACAATAGGTACAAAACAATTACAGTTCTGTCACATGGCATCATTGTACACACATATACCTGGAGTCTACAAACAATAGGTACACAACAATTACAGTTCTGTCAACATGGCATCATTGTAGACACATATACCAGGAGTCTACAAACAATAGGTACAAAACAATTACAGTTCTGTCAACATGGCATCATTGTACACATATATACCAGGAGTCTACAAACAATAGGTACACAACAATTACAGTTCTGTCAACATGGCATCATTGTACACACATATACCAGGAGTCTACAAACAAAAGGTACACAACAATTACAGTTCTGTGAACATGGCATCATTGTACACACATATACCAGGAGTCTACAAACAATAGGTACACAACAATTACAGTTCTGTCAACATGGCATCATTGTACACACATATACCAGGAGTCTACAAACAAAAGGTACACAACAATTACAGTTCTGTCAACATGGCATCATTGTACACACATATACCTGGAGTCTACAAACAAAAGGTACACAACAATTACAGTTCTGTGAACATGGCATCATTGTACACACATATACCTGGAGTCTACAAACAATAGGTACACAACAATTACAGTTCTGTGAACATGGCATCATTGTACACACATATACCAGGAGTCTACAAACAATAGGTACACAACAATTACAGTTCTGTGAACATGGCATTATTGTACAACCATATACCTGGAGTCTACAAACAATAGGTACACAACAATTACAGTTCTGTGAACATGGCATCATTGTGTACACATATACCAGGAGTCTACAAACAATAGGTACACAACAATTACAGTTCTGTCAACATGGCATCATTGTACAACCATATACCTGGAGTCTACAAACAAAAGGTACACAACAATTACAGTTCTGTCAACATGGCATCATTGTACACACATATACCTGGAGTCTACAAACAATAGGTACACAACAATTACAGTTCTGTTCACATGGCATCATTGTACACACATATACCTGGAGTCTACAAACAATAGGTACACAACAATTACAGTTCTGTGAACATGGCATCATTGTACACACATATACCAGGAGTCTACAAACAATAGGTACACAACAATTACAGTTCTGTGAACATGGCATCATTGTACACACATATACCTGGAGTCTACAAACAATAGGTACACAACAATTACAGTTCTGTGAACATGGCATCATTGTACACACATATACCAGGAGTCTACAAACAATAGGTACACAACAATTACAGTTCTGTCAACATGGCATCATTGTAGACACATATACCAGGAGTCTACAAACAATAGGTACACAACAATTACAGTTCTGTGAACATGGCATTATTGTACAACCATATACCTGGAGTCTACAAACAATAGGTACACAACAATTACAGTTCTGTGAACATGGCATCATTGTACACACATATACCTGGAGTCTACAAACAATAGGTACACAACAATTACAGTTCTGTGAACATGGCATCATTGTACACACATATACCAGGAGTCTACAAACAATAGGTACACAACAATTACAGTTCTGTCAACATGGCATCATTGTAGACACATATACCAGGAGTCTACAAACAATAGGTACACAACAATTACAGTTCTGTCAACATGGCATCATTGTAGACACATATACCTGGAGTCTACAAACAATAGGTACACAACAATTACAGTTCTGTCAACATGGCATCATTGTACACACATATACCTGGAGTCTACAAACAATAGGTACACAACAATTACAGTTCTGTCAATATGGCATCATTGTGTACACATATACCAGGAGTCTACAAAAAAAAGGTTCACAATTACAGTTCTGTGAACATGGCATCATTGTGTACACATATACCAGGAGTCTACAAACAAAAGGTACACAACAATTACAGTTCTGTCAACATGGCATCATTGTACACACATATACCAGGAGTCTACAAACAAAAGGTACACAACAATTACAGTTCTGTGAACATGGCATTATTGTACACACATATACCTGGAGTCTACAAACAAAAGGTACACAACAATTACAGTTCTGTGAACATGGCATCATTGTACACACATATACCTGGAGTCTACAAACAATAGGTACACAACAATTACAGTTCTGTCAACATGGCATCATTGTACACACATATACCAGGAGTCTACAAACAAAAGGTACACAACAATTACAGTTCTGTGAACATGGCATTATTGTACACACATATACCTGGAGTCTACAAACAAAAGGTACACAACAATTACAGTTCTGTGAACATGGCATCATTGTACACACATATACCAGGAGTCTACAAACAATAGGTACAAAACAATTACAGTTCGGTCAACATGGCATCATTGTGTACACATATACCTGGGGTCTACAAACAATAGGTACACAACAATTACAGTTCTGTCAACATGACATCATTGTACACACATATACCTGGAGTCTACAAACAAAAGGTACACAATCTTTTTTTTCTTTTTTTAATCAAATAGCTAAATTGGAAAAAGAATATATCTATGGTAACAAAACATGTGCAACTTACAAAATTTATTTTTTGTATCTCTTTGTAATAACCTTTTATTAGTAACGATTTTGTTCAATAATTCTTTATCTCAACTAGAAGTTCTATGAATCTGAAAACACATCACACAGTATAGCATGTTAACATTAAACCTTATATGCAATGAAAATTTCATGCATTGCCAATATGTGTATAAGTGTTCAGTAAACAGGAAGATGATGAGCAATGAATTTGAATATGTATCCCAAATGTAAAGCAGGTTCTCTCTAAGCCTGATATTGTAGTTCTAGAAAAATGTGACAAAAATATCATTCATAGCAACTTTGTGTTAGGATATATATATATAAGTAAACAGAAAGTTGATGAGCAATGAATATCAGAAAATGCATTAAACTGTAAAGCATGCTCACATGAAGCACATAAAAATGGACAGACAGAAAACAGACTGATGGATGGACAGACAATGCAGTTGCAATAAAGCCCTACTAGTTCCTAATTCTGGGTATAATAATAAGGGATAAAGGATATATATGTGAAATAAAAAAGTTCACTATCTGGGTGAAGTGTATATAAAAATGAAGTTTTATGTTTACTGCTATGTGTATTTACTCTGAAATACTGTTTAATCTTAGAAGTTCCTCCAGGATCTATAGTTCTGCTGTCGTACATGATTTTCATACAATTAGCCCCAGCATCCTCAGCATTCTGTACCATTTCCTGTTAATAGAATAAAAATAATTTAATGCACAATATAGTTCTACAAATTAAACCTGAATTCAACTCAAAAGTTTATACTAATTGTTATATTTATGATTTGCATCAAATAACAGCTACTAAATTGCAGGGAAATTCCAAAGAAACATCAAATAGCAGCTGCTAAATTGCAGGGAACTTCCAAAGAAACATAAAATAACAGCTACTAAATTGCAGGGAACTTCCAAAGAAACACCAAATAACAACTACTAAATTGCAGGAACTTCCAAAGAAACATCAAATAACAGCTTCTAAATTGCAGGGAACTTCCAAAGAAACATCAAATAACAGCTACTAAATTGCAGGGAATTTCTAAAGAAACACCAAATAACAGCTACTAAATTGCAGGGAACTTCCAAAGAAACATCAAATAACAGCTACTAAATTGCAGGGAATTTCTAAAGAAACACCAAATAACAGCTACTAAATTGGAGGGAACTTCCAAAGAAACATCAAATAACAGCTACTAAATTGCAGGGAAACTTCCAAAGAAACATCAAATAACAGCTACTAAATTGCAGGGAACTTCTAAAGAAACACCAAATAACAGCTACTAAATTGCTGGGAACTTCCAAAGAAACACCAAATAACAGCTACTAAATTGCAGGGAACTTCCAAAGAAACATCAAATAACAGCTACTAAATTGCAGGGAACTTCTAAAGAAACATCAAATAACAGCTACTAAATTGCAGGGAAACTTCCAAAGAAACTTCAAATAACAGCTACTAAATTGCAGGGAACTTCCAAAGAAACACCAAATACAAGACGTCCAACGACACTATACATAGTAAGATGATATGTTTGGCTAAATTCTGTTCAGTGGATTGGGAGAAGTTATATAATTTTGGCTGAAATGTTTTCAGTTTTTCTGAAAGAGAATCAAGATTGCAGATATTTCACTCCTTTAATCTTAGCTATGGCTTCAGTCATCAATGTAGAAACCAAAGGAATAGACCAATTCATACTGCTGAGGAGCAATTGTTTCCAAAAAAAAGTCATCCTTGCAATTCCAAATGGACTGGTCGGACTGTCAATTGAATTGACCAATACTAGTACAAATTGCACTCAAACAACTTACACGTAACATTTGTTCATCATCAGGGTATTCCCCTAGGATAGTCTGCAACTGTCGAAGCAGAGTGGGTCGGTTCATTTCATAGGTTGTTTCACCTTCTGAATCTTCTTGGTCTGTGAAAATAATATAAACAAATGTTAAACTAACTTCATGCAAATACATGAACTATGACCTGTCTGCATTTAAGAAGAAAATCTCAGGTCAAAAGGCATACAAACTTTTTTCAGCTGAATTAAAGTATTTAGGGGACATTTTTTATATTTCAAATCAAAAACCAGTTTCCAAAATATATGTACATGGCAAAGTATTTACTGAAAAAAATTTTAAACTTTAATTCAAGCCATACCCCTTTTTATGGACCTTATAACGCTATTTGGTAATCTGCGACACTTGACCCGAGAATTTGCAACATTTGAACTTTTGACGTCAACAACAATCACTTTTCCTTTATGGCGTCAGACCTTTTCTTTTGTGACGTCAAAATTTTATGGGAACTTCTGTGCTGTCCAGTTATGGTGGACAAAAAGCGATAAGGTGTATTGTTTCATTCACACTGATGTAAATAAACCTCACAGTCTTATGTTTTAAGGTTTGTTAAAGCTACTTTTCATAATAAGTTATTGCTTTGATATATATAATTTCAAAATGTTTACATTCGATAATATAATTCAAAATTTTTAAGGCATTCAAAGGAAGTAGAGATGAAAAAGATAATTCTCAAAATATTAATTTTTTAATTGTCCTAAGAAAGTTAAAATCTTTTAAGTAATATTCTTATATCTTTGCATTTAATTTGCCTTAAATTTAGTCTTTTTACAAAGAAACATCAATTTAAGAAGTATACTGTGAAAAGTGGCTAAAAAGGGGGAGTAACTCCAATTTTTTTCAAACATCTTTGAAATACACAAATTATTTACAACCTTAGGCTAAGGAAATTGGTGTTAAATAACAGTGTGTTTGACACTAAAGCTGTCAAGCGAAGCTTAATGGCTCACTTAATTTGGCCTTATGCGACTTCTGGCGCGGAGAGAATTAAGGTAAGGTTAATTTGACAGTTAACACAGCTAGTTAAACTCCCTGTCCAGGATGAATAACAAATTTGCTGGTATTTCAAAGGAAAATCACTTATGAAATCAATCATTTCATACTTTAAATATCTCAAAGCACAGGAATAGTTCGAGCAGGAATACTGGCGATGACAGGTCAAATGCTGAAATACCTGCTATATAAAATATTTGATGACCCTTGGGCAACTATAGAAAATCTCAGGTAAGCTTTTAAATCTGGGGTGTGACCCGCAAAATCCTGGTCAGTTGACAGGTATGTAGTGTATAATTTTAAAGACCAATACTGTGTCAAGGCCTGTGATGCATAGAGCTGTTCTAAAGAACAGCCTTAAGCAGGAAAATGATTCTAAAATTCTCAAGTGGAAGAACTTTGTCAACTGTGATAGGTGAAATCAAAATTTATGATGTGAAGGTTCCAATGGTAAGTATTCTCTGACTAAAGATTGTTTTATCTCTATAGAACTGAAGCTAGATATAACTGAATATAGAAATAGGACTGAGACTGCTCTCATGTGTGATGGCCTGTTTAGGACTTTCCTTGTCCTAATTAAGCCAGTCCGTAAAAGTCTGTCAGATATCAGAGTAATTTAGGACTTAAGAAGATATGTTTGTTGCGTTGGGGGTTTGCGAAAATTAAATCACACAGATCTATAAGATTGATGGACTAAATGTTGTTGCTTAAAGCCACTTTCAGCACATTTTTGCCCTTGTCAGATTTTCTCTATTTATAATGGTTTTCAAAATAATAGACAAAACTTGCATTTTACCCCTATGTTATATTTTTAGCCATGTCGACCATGGGGTCATCAGACACATTTTTAAAACTAGATACCCCAATGATGATTGTGGCCAAGTTTGGATAAATTTGGCCCAGTAGTTTCAGGGGAGAAGATTTTTGTAAAAGTTAACGACGACAACAGACGGCAAAGGATGACAAAATCTCACTTGGCCCTTTGAGCCAGGTGAGCTAAAAAAATAAAATCTTTGATTTTTTTTGGTTCAATCATTAATGAAAGTGATATAGTGAAATAATAATTGGCTTTCAGCAGCCAATTTGGTTCAATTTTGTCAAAAAAAGCTAAGAAACATTGCTGATGAATTAATATTCAATTGCAAGTGAATAATTCAACCTCATTGAATCCATATTCATGTGACCTTCAATTTAACCACTTAGCTTGAGATGGGTTAGGCATGTATTCAGATGAAAGTGAAAGAGAAACAAGGATGAACCATTTGGTTGACTGATTCGATCCACAAAAAATCATTCTTATACAAGTAAAAATGATGATAAACATACTTTTTAACCTACAATATGAAATCAAACAGATCTAGAAAAATCCAATTGCATGTGGTCGCTATCTGTTTATATTTATATTTATGTTTATATCGGGTTATATGACTGTTGGCAGTCTTTGCAGGTCATCTCGATGGTTAATTAGATGACGTCTTGAAAAAAATACACACAATATGTTGATACATATTCTAGAGTCCATGCATTATTCATTTAAGACTTTTTGTAATTTGGATATACATTTTGGCATGTTATAAATCAAGTATGAGAATTTGAGTAAATCAGTGAACATGAATTTGACAGCTAATGCCCCTTTAATAAATCAAATGAAAGAAACACAAGAGTGCACACGCTGAAATGTCTCGCCTTCTTTACTAATCATTGATATTATGTTGATAGTCCTAAATATAAAGCTTTATTACAACTGTCACATAAACTTAACATTAACCAAGTAAACTAAACATTGACCAATGAACCATGAAAATGAGGTCAAGGTCAGATGAACCATGCTAGGCAGGCATGTACAGCTAACAATTCTTCCATACAACAAATATAGTTGACCTATTGCTTATAGTTTAAGAAAAACAGACCAAAACACAAAAACTTAACACTGAGCAATGAACCTTGAAAATGAGGTCAAGGTCAAATAAAACCTGCGTGACTGCCAAATAGATCATAAAATATTTCCATACACCAAATATAGTTGAACTATTGCATATAGTATTAGAAAAAAAGACCAAAACTCAAAAAACTTAACTTTGACCACTGAACCATGAAAATGAGGTCATGGTCAGATGACACCTGCCCGCTAGACATGTACACCTTACAATCATTCCATACACCAAATATAGTAGACCTATGGCATACAGTATAAGAAAAACAGACCAAAACACAAAAACTTAACTATAACCACTGAACCATGAAAATGAGGTCAAGGTCAGATGACACCTGCCAGTTGGACATGTACACCTTACAGTCCTTCCATACACCGAATATACAAGACCTATTGCTTATAGTATCTGAGATATGGACTTGACCACCAAAACTTAACCTTGTTCACTGATCCATAAAATGAGGTCGAGGTCAAGTGAAAACTGTCTGACGGACATGAGGACCTTGCAAGGTACGCACATACCAAATATAGTTGAACTATTGCATATAGTATTAGAAAAAAAGACCAAAACTCAAAAACTTAACTTTGACCACTGAACCATGAAAATGAGGTCAAGGTCAGATGACACCTGCCCGCTAGACATGTACACCTTACAATCATTCCATACACCAAATAAAGTAGAACTATGGCATACAGTATAAGAAAAACAGACCAAAACACAAAAACTTAACTATAACCACTGAACCATGAAAATGAGGTCAAGGTCAGATGACACCTGCCAGTTGGACATGTACACCTTACAGTCCTTCCATACACCGAATATACAAGACCTATTGCTTATAGTATCTGAGATATGGACTTGACCACCAAAACTTAACCTTGTTCACTGATCCATGAAATGAGGTTGAGGTCAAGTGAAAACTGTCTGACGGGCATGAGGACCTTGCAAGGTACGCACATACCAAATATAGTTATCCTATTACTTATAATAAGAGAGAATCTAACATTACAAAAAATCTGAACTTTTTTTTCAAGTAGTCACTGAACCATGAAAATGAGGTCAAGGACATTGGACATGTGACTGACGGAAACTTCGTAACATGAGGCATCCATATACAAAGTATGAAGCATCCAGACCTTCCACCTTCTAAAATATAAAACTTTTAAGAAGTTAGCTAACGCCGCCGCCGCCGCCGCCAGATCACTATCCCTATGTCGAGCTTTCTGCGACAAAAGTCGCAGGCTCGACAAAAAACCTCAAAATATTCCCCAATGAGAGGCAATAATGTATTTTCTAGATACAGTCTGCTTTTACAAGACTGAAAACACACCTAGACTATGTGCATGCGTAGAAATTGACCTCTACAGTGGATTGGAAACAAATATAGTTCTCTAAAATATGCACTTAAATAATCAATGTCAGATATCCTATTGCGCATGCGTAGATACAACATAATTCAAATAGGTTTCCAAAACTTCTATATGGCAAACCATTAAAGAATATAATAAAACAGTAGAGTGATAAATTTAATAAACGCTGCTTGTTTATCATGTTTATAGATGTAATATCTCAATATTTCAAGAGAGAAAAATGCAAGTAATATCTCAATATTTCAAGAGAGAAAAATGCAAGTAAAGTCAAGCTACCTGTAGCCACTGATAAATATTTTCAAAATGGTGGATGGGGTCAGATAATAAAAGTCTTTGTAAATGCAACTTTTTATATATTATACTCACAAAAAATATGTAAAGAGTACACATAATAAAATGTCTCCCCTGCTTTACTTATTATGATTAAATTTCATACCATACACCAAATAAAGTTGGCCTATTGCATATACTCAGATACTGTAAGCCATAGTAACCGAAAAACAGACCTGATTACCAAAATTGAACATTGACTAAATTAATGAACCATGAAAATGAGGTCAAGGTTGAACCCTACCAGACAGACATGTTCACATTACAATCATTACATACACAACAGTGGCGGATCAAGAAATTTTCATAAGAGGGGGCCCTGCTCCAGTCATGCTTCAGTGATTCCCTATTTAATCTACCAAATTTTTCCCACAAAAGGGGGGGGGGGGGGGGGGGGGGGGGCGGGCCCACTGAGTATTGATTAGTATACCAATGATCTAAGAGTCTGGTCATTTTATTGGGGGCCTGGAAGAAAACATTGGAATTTCTCTATTTTATTTCTAGTCCCACCTTGAAGAAAAATAAATTCAAGACCTCCCTTCACTAGACATGAATATCTTAATACCCCTCCCTAAAAGTTTCTCAATACTTTTATTCTTAACAACAAAAAAATACATGCATACAATTCCTATCTATTTATATTATTATTTTTCAATAAAATATTGCATCAGTAAACGATCTAGAGCTTAGAGTGGGGAAGTTGTTTGTGACTTCGGGGAACTTTATTTGGATATGCCTGTTAAGGTCTCACTGAAATTTACCATATCTTCATTCAATTTCTCAAGGTAATGATAATAAATTGAAACTCAACTCGGAAAGGTTGTGGAATGTTTCCGCAAATCATAATAAAAAATTTGTAAGGGTTCAAAGGAAACCCAGTGTCTCGCCTACTTTTGCTGTTGTCTATGTTTTCAGTGTGATAGGGGAATGGACATAATAGATTTACAGTTCATGAATCTAATAAATGTTTTAAAAACTTTAACTGCAGACTGTATGTAATGTTAACTGGAAGAAAAACTAAGTCCATTTATAAGTAATATACGAAAAACAGGAAATCAATTTTTACAAAATTTCCTTCTAGATACTAGCTTTTGATCATAAACAAGCTTCTGTCCAAGTTTGGTACAAATCCAGGATAGTTTAAGAAAGTTATCAAAATTTTAAAAACTTTAACCACAGAGTGAATATAATGTTAACTGGCAGAAAAACTAAGTCCATTTATAAGTAAAATATGGAATAACAGGATTTTTTTTTTTACAAAATTTACTTCTGGATACTATCTTAGGATCATAAACAAGCTCCTGTCCAAGTTTGGTAGAAATCAAGGAAAGTTAAAGAAAGTTATTAAAATTTCAAAAACTTTAACCACAGAGTGAATATTTGTGGACGCCACAGCCGACGACGACGATGGAATGTAGGATCGCTATGTCTCGCTTATGCGACAAAAGTCGCAGGCTCGACAAAAAAGGATCATAATTAAATTTGTCTTTTGAAGATTTGGAAACAAAAATTTACCACCTAGTGAAAATCCTATAAAAATATTCCATGAGGTACGATATGGTTCGGGTAAGAAATGACTATAATTCATTACATAGCAAGCAAGTTTCATAACAAGAAAACAGCGCCCCCTATGTCACAATAACAGTCAGTTAGCTATTACGTTTTTTTGTTTTATTTGAGTACCGCACGTAGATTGTTCTGTTTCATGAAGGAACTTCATTTACAATTATGTTTAATGACTAAATACCAAATTTATGATTGTACACAATTTCTGTGAATGATTTTAATGATGAGTAAAAGGATATCCCTGCTTCTACAAAATGTGGAATTCCTCGACGTCACTAGGTTGGATATATTTTGAATATTTCGTAATACAGATTTTTCTGGAATGTAAAAGAGATAGTGTCAATCTGTTTGTTTATCGCCATCTCATCAAAACTATATGAAATTTTGAAGAGTTTCGAACTATAAACACAAAATGGTTGACGCGAGAGGCTTGGAAAGTAGCCAATCGCTAAGGTCATAAGATGGCTTAAAGCCGTCTTTTCCCCAAAAAATCTCAATTTATAATGTGTAGTTGAACCCCTGTACTACACTATATATAGTGTGTAGTTGAACCCCTGTACCACACTATATATAGTGTGTAGTTGAACCCCTGTACCACACTATATATAGTGTGTAGTTGAACCCCTGTACCACACTATATATAGTGTGTAGTTGAACCCCTGTACCACACTATATAAAGTGTGTAGTTGAACCCCTGTACCACACTATATATAGTGTGTAGTTGAACCCCTGTACCACACTATTTATAGCTGAAAACATAATTATGTATCTTCTTATTTATATTTATGACTGATATTGAAAAACTATTTCCCTTACCAGAACCTTTGGAATGATCCTCCGTATGGGTATGTGCCATTGTAAGTGTTTCTTTCTCTTCTCTTTCTACAGACGTATCATTGTCCCTGTCTGCCATCTCCTTCAACTCCTCAACACAACTGTCATTATCGTGTAACCGTGGTTTCTTGGGTACATCAACTAACAGCTTTTTAGTCTTCCTCTTTTTTTTATGCCGACCATCCATTGTCACTAGTTCTCAATTTCTGGATGTATAAAGCATTATGGGTAAGGAATATTATAAGTATTATAGATTAGGAGTGTCCTCACGGATTTCAAATTTAAAAAATTTCCCCATTTGATTTTCAGAATTTTTCTACTTTCCTTTTCCTATATATCTATTTTCTAGAAATCAATGTGTAATCTCATGATGTGTCATAACTCCACATTACCAAATCATCTTTATCTTTAGTTTTCTGTCAACTGTTTGTGAACTGTTAGTTTTGTCATTGTTTTTCATGTGGACATAGCTATATATAGTGTTGTTTGTTTTCCCTTGACTTATGGTTTTATATTCAGTACGTAGTCAGTGTTGGTATCTTATGTCCCCTTTTTAAAGTCCATCATGAAATTGGTTGTTTTTTATATTGTGCACCCAAATTATAGTTCCCTTAATGAAATCTATGTAATTCAATTTGTTTGCACTAAATTTTTATTGTTTGTTCATACGGTACATTTGAGACAACTAATCAAGTTGAAAAATAACTTGTTGAACGCATTTTACCTGAGATAATAAGAAAATGAAATAAAAAGAACATTGATTTAAGATAAAAGAATCTCAATCATTAGTATAATTTCAAAGCATCATAGGTGTTGTGTTCTAGCCAATTTCCAACTAGTCAGAAAATTTTCTGATCTCAATTGCATTTTCAATAAAACAAAATATTCATACCAACTTCTGTAAATATTGCTTTTGCAGATATAAAATTCGTAAGGGTTCCGCGGAACACAGTGTCTCGCCTACTTTTGCTGTTAATCGCAGGCTCAACAAAAATGAGGAAAAAAATCAATAAAAATATTCCTTTAGATACTATCTTTTGATTGTAGTAGCTTCTGTCAAAATTTGGTATAAATCCAGGATAGTTTATGAATCTAATGAATGTTTTAAAAACTTTAACTGCAGACTGTATTTAATGTTAACTGGAAGAAAAACTAAGTCCATTTATAAGTAAAATACGGAAAAACAGGTACAAAATTTTAACAAAATTTCCTTCTAGATACTAGCTTTTGATCATAAACAAGCTTCTCTCCAAGTTTGGTACAAATCCAGGATAGTTTAAGAAAGTTATTAAAATTTCAAAAACTTTAACCACAGAGTAAATGTATTGTTTCCTGGCAGAAAAACTAAGTCCATTTAAAAGTAAAATACGGAAAAAATGAAATTTTTTTTTAACAAATTTACTTCTGGATACTATCTTATGATCATAAACAAGCTTCTGTCCAAGTTTGGTACAAATCCAGGATAGTTTAAGAAAGTTATTAAAATTTTAAAAACTTTAACCACAGAGTGAATGTAATGTTTCCTGGCAGAAAAACTAAGTCCATTTACAAGTAAAATACGGAAAAACAGGAATTTTATTTTTACAAAATTTACTTCTGGATACTATCTTATGATCATAAACAAGCTTCTGTCCAAGTTTGGTACAAATCCAGGATAGTTTAAGAAAGTTATTAAAATTTCAAAAACTTTAACCACAATTTGGCCCTTGGGGAATCTACTCAGCTAAAAATTTTAATTTTTTGCTCCATGCCTAAACCAAGAGCCTAGCTATGTGCATACTGAAAAGTAGCAAAGTATAGACCCCTGGCTTGACATCACACCAATCCAATTGGAACGATGGTTCAAAATAAATGCGTGAGGCTATCAGGAAGCCTATGAGGCTATCATGCCTAGAGGCTATCATGCCTATGAGGCTATGAGGAAGCCTATAATGAGGCAATGAGGAAGCCTATAAGGAGGCTATGAGGAGCCTATATGGAGGCTATGAGGAAGCCTAGTAGTGTTGATGTTGAATTGGTGTTGGAATGAATTTGTATGAAATTTGACAGTTTATCCCCAGAAATTCTTGGGGGATGAGTGAAATTTTTGAAACAACCAGTGATAAAATTTCATAAATGAAATCTATAAATCTGCTATAAACTGTGCTGAGATTGATTCCCCTGTCATGGCAATATTGAAGGTGAAAGGAGGGGTCGGCGGGTGGCAAGTTTTTAGCTAAAACACTATTAGAGCCAAGATTAGTCTAATAACTGCTTAATCTGCATTTAAATAAATGGATACTCAAGGCAGCATACACAGGTTTTTTAATACACAACTTCTTAATGGGATACTCCTATGTGGGATGAGTTAAAACTGCACCCAGGTTAATGTATAAAGAACAAAGGTCAAAGGAAGCCAAATGCCACAAGTGGTCACTAATTAACAAGACATGTATATTTGTATTGGAACTGATGTAATTAAACCTCCTGCTAAGAACATGTGATAAACTTCACATCTAACTGATTGAGATATGATAATAAATCTGTTTCATCTCAACAGTAAAGAAAACACACATCCTGGGAAAATCCTAAAATAATGACCACTGAGTGTAATGAAAATCAAACTATGTATAAACATTACTTATATAACATATAAGTACCTATTTATACAAAATTCTCAGAAAAGGTCCTGAATATGTTTAATTGTCATTTGTTCCATGTTTGCATTGTGTTCTGATTCTTTGTAAATATTTTTAGGGTAAATTAATTTATGTTTGATGTGATGTTGTACTAATCTTATTTTAATTGTCTGTTGTTTATACTGTATCTTTTCTTTGGTAAGTGTTAGTCTGTTATGTAATAGGGAAATGTGTGTTAACACCTGAGTAAACATCCAACCTGATACCTTCTTGCAAATTTCTTTGACCTGACAATTAAACCATCCTGATGTAACTTTCTGCCCTATATTTAGACTTTTGCTAATAAATGTGTCAGTGAACAAAATCCTCAAAGTCACACATAATGAGTTCATAGTAATTTAAGTAATTTAATTACCCCTGATTTCTTTCAGAACTCACCATTTGAACTCATGATATGTAAAATTAAGGATTTAGTGCTCACATCAACATTATTATCAACCTAATTTTTTCCTGTCATAACCTATCTTGTAAATAAACTCCTGGGAAATATTGTGTAGCAATGCCAGTGGTATCCATGTTTTAATTAAACATAAATCATAATTGAATTAAAACTTTTATTTTATATATATACATCACTAATTTGGCCCTTGGGGAATCTACTCAGCTAAAAATTTTAATTTTTTGCTCCATGCCTAAACCAAGAGCCTAGCTATGTGCATACTGAAAAGTAGCAAAGTATAGACCCCTGGCTTGACATCACACCAATCCAATTGGAACGATGGTTCAAAATAAATGTGTGAGGCTATCAGGAAGCCTATGAGGCTATCATGCCTAGAGGCTATCATGCCTATGAGGCTATGAGGAAGCCTATAATGAGGCAATGAGGAAGCCTATAAGGAGGCTATGAGGAAGCCTATATGGAGGCTATGAGGAAGCCTAGTAGTGTTGATGTTGAATTGGTGTTGGAATGAATTTGTATGAAATTTGACAGTTTATCCCCAGAAATTCTTGGGGGATGAGTGAAATTTTTGAAACAACCAGTGATAAAATTTCATAAATGTCCATAACACAGATGGTAACAGCTGAGTGTCCCCAAGGATTTGTGAGGTAAGGGAGGGGGTACCTTCAATAAAGCCATGAGAGAAAAAAAAAACAAAACAACATTATAATAACACATTATCAAAATCAATTGTCAAACAAAAACAATATCATACAGAAACTTTGTGAAACATGCATATATGTATGAAACATTTGAAGCTGAGCATTCCTTTAAATTCTGCCTAACCTACTTTGAGCTCCCCAATTCTAAAACTATGACCATTATAATGACTTGAGTTGAAGCCACATATATCCAGTACTTTTTTAATACAGGTGAGGAAATATTGTCTCTCCAGAGGTTTCTTATCAATGGTTATGAAAAGTGGATCAGTTTGATTGATAGGAGAAAATTCCTTCCTTATTTGTATATATTCTAACAAAATTGTGTAAGGGCAGATAAGCTGACCTAATTTATGTAGCTGTATATTTATGCCTTTTCTAAAAGGATCAGTTTTTGATTGTTTTAATTTCAAAACTACTAAGTCTGTGTGAAAAACAACATCTTCAATACATAAATTTATATCTGATTCAAATTGTGAGGCCTTTGACACTGTAAACTCTCCAGATCTCAAAAATCCATAAAATGCGACAATGCATGCAGTTCTTAACATCAAATCAGTAAACTTGGAACAAAAACCTTTTCTCAAGCAATTTACAATTTTCTCCAAAATTTCGAAAGTTATTGGTAATCTTATGTGATCTTTTGTTTTTTGCAGTCTTTTTACAGAATTTAAAACATAATCAAGCCTAATTAAAGGTGTATTATTAGCAGATTGCAAGGGATCATTATGATTACCCTGTACATACTTATACCTAATTCCACATAAATATAGTTTAATGGTAGAGTATTGTAAACTCAGAATTTTAAAGCAGTGGGCTATGAAATAAATTAAAATATCCTCAGAAATAGGAGGTAAACTAGTAAATTGAAAACCATCCAATAACATAAAAGTCTCAAACTTTCTAAACCCAGTATCATAAACAGTTCTTGTAGTATTAGCAATAGCACTGTTCCAAAGTTCATTCACTGCTTTATTTAAGACCACATTACATCTGAGCTGCTTGGGCACTTTATTGGATGTTGTGCTGCACTGGGAGCTAGTTTGCGGAATCTGTCTATCTGAAAACGAGATAGAGCATCACTTATGTCATTCTGATATCCTGGAACATGTTTCGCACTAAAATGAAAGTTGTATTTACAAGCACACCATGTAAGTTTCCTCATTAATTTCATTATTTGTAAACACTTTGAACGGCCCTTTTTTACTATAGCTACTGTAGCTTCATTGTCACACCAGAAAAGAATGCGTTTTGTTGTCCACTGTGAGCACCACAGTATTGCGGATACTACAATAGGGTATAATTCAAGAAAAGCCATTGAAAATGTTTTGTCAGGATAAGCAATGTTTGATGGCCATGATGAATAAAACCATTCTCCTTTGAAATATCCACCAAATCCTTTCGTTGATGAGGCATCAGTGAAAAGTTCC